AAACGTTCGAACACTTAGCACATAGCGGAGCTCCCGTCACTCTCGGCCCTTCAGACCAGAGTCCGACCGGACCTCTTGTACCCCCATCTTTCTCCATTCCGTTTGTAACCTCACAGCAAACTTCGAGCACCTGGGTTCAGGAATAATAGTCACCAACCGACTCAAACTGGACGTATGGCACGTTGCCTGAACCAGTATAAACCCTGTGTCATTGAGTGTTAGGCCACATCCGATCACAACGTATGGCAAAACTATAAGTATTTACATGTTGGTTATTTTGTGCACCGATACATTGCATTGTGGTTTGTCAGTCGTCTACTCCGGCGTTTGTCGGTCAGTCAGTCAGCTTATTACGCGGCCGGCCCAGCCCGGCCGCGATAACGCGCGCAAATCACTCCGACATGCCGCCGCCGTCGGTTCGGTTGGTAACATGCAAAACGTAGGCACGCTTGTATATTTATAAATATATATACTGTGTGCTTAATTAATTAATTCCCAATTTCCAAAAAAAACTAAACTATTCTCCTAGTCCTGTGTAACTCTACTCGTATCGTATCTGGCAACACGCTGCCACGTAGCCGTGTGGAAGCAGAAGCATCTGTAGACGACTGCTCGTCGGTCGGTACATGGCATGGATATACAGAGTAGAGTACATTATTAGCAGACGCTGCCAAGTGACATGTTTCATGGCTTTTGCATTGGCCCCTCTAGTCTAGAGAAAATAATGCATGAACAGGAGGGGGGGCGTGGGACGCGCGGCCACCATGTGCACGGTTGCTTTCAGCTCCTTAAGTAACTTCGCTCACGCTCACACCGCGATCGAGAATCTCCGCACATGTCCATATGGCATAATATCCATATGGCTCACTATCACCTCGATCGGGCAATGCAAATACTACTATTATGCAACTGATTTACTTTATTCGGAATGCTGACTGATGAGCTCGTAAAGATGCCCTCCTGTTTGACTCTAGTGTACGTACTCCCTCCGTCCCATTGAGTTTGTCGTTGGAAAACCGTGCCCCCCTCACAATCCCGCTTCCCGAGCGACAATCTTAACGGGACGGAGGGAGTAAGCACGTGGCACATCGAAATCTTTCATTATTATATTACCAGTCACTCTCCGATTAATTCTGAATGGTACGTCCTCAGGGAGATATTTGTTCGCTTTGTTGTACCACTCTTATGCTTTTGTTTTTTCAATATTCGGTAAACATAGCATGCACGCAACGAAAAACTACTACAACTGTTACTCTGCCGTGCGCTTACCTGTTAAACTTAGGGGCTTGCGAAATCATATATTTTGTCTTTTCCAAATTACAATTTGTCTGGCTGTGTATTGCAACTTCTTTAATTTTAACAAAACTTTTAGGAAAATGCACAAACATCTAGAATATCAAATTAGCTGCAGATGTCAACAATTTTTTTTTTCTAAAAATGCTTAAATTTAGGGGGAAAAAAGAGAGCAAAGCCAAAATGAACTATAAGACTATATAATTCAGAACAAAAAGGGAAAGGTGGTTGTTCTCATCCTCCCTACACCTTAATTTCTTCCTCCTCTCAATGCCTGTGATTCCTCATCCCACAAGATCCAATCTATATTCTCTATCTTTGATAAGCTCCATGAAAGTCGATGAACTCACATTTGGGTTCGGGTTGGGCTACTAGGGATTTTAGGGGTCCGTGTGCTCCATTAACGTCTTTGCTTCTCAAACTCTTTGGAACAGAGGGATGGCTAGGAGAATGGGTTACTTGACATTGGAGGTAGCTGGTGGATTGGTGTGCATGGCGACAGGAGGCTGGAGGTGGTGGAGGGTGTTTGGCGGATAGGGTTGGGACAGGAAGAAATCTCGTTGCAATGGGTTTGTAGGGACTTGTAGCCGAGCGATCGATAAAACCCACTAGAGACAAGGTGTAGGAGGTGAAGCAGGTGCGATATCGTCAAAAGAACTCTTCGCAGGTTCCAGTTATGGTGAGAACGAAGGAAGATAAACCTGTGTTGCTATTTATTAGATTTAGGACGTTAGGGGAAGGGAAAACAGTTGGGTATGCATGGCTAAGGTTTTAAATAGCAAGCTAAGGTATTTATTAGTAGTGGCCTCCTCTAGAAGATATGAAAATCTATAGTTGGATCAATTTTTCCCTGAACACTAAACATGAAACAATTGATTACCTACCATTTAGTCATTATTTAGCTAGCCTAATGGTCTATGAAATGGGCTAAACGGCTAATCAAACGGGATGAACGACCGATTAAACCAAAACGGCGGACCACCACGTAGTATTTACATGGTGTTAAACTGTCTAAATGACCATTTAGACAAACAGTGAGCAAGATATAACAAAAAACTATTTCATTTAGTGGGTTTTTAAAAAACATGGAAATTTTCAATTAGTCGCATGGAAATAAGAAATTTTTATTGACATAGATACTCAAGAATGCATATCTAAGGCTATAGGTCACATATCTCTATGTCTTCATAGTCTTTCAATCAATTAACCTACTAGCAGCTATAATCACATTTGTATATTTATTCAACATCCAACAAGCAACAAACTCAACATTTACTCAATGGTTTTAACAAACAAAATAGAAGAGGCCTATATTCTAGTCATCTAGAGTAGATAATAACAATTTTTCATGGTTAGGATCTGACATGCTAAAAAGTTTCTAGCTAAGCCAAATAGTGGTGTTTAGTTGAGCTAGGCATTGTTAGCTCCAATAACAGAACAATTGGTAACATCATAGCGATAAGCCATCTAAAAATCTTATAGTGGGCTATTTAGAAGCATGATATGTGTTTCATAAATCCTAATTAACTCAGTGGAACGGACAAAAGAGCTTGTCTCACAAAACACCAGAAAGTTTACATATATGTGCCCCTGTTCGTGCAACTAGGCTTATATGTGGCTAAATCCAGGAGACACTGAATCTCTAGCGATAGCAAGATTGTAGCAACTTGGTTGCACTCATAGGAGTGCTGCCGCGGCGGCGGCTGCTGCGTCGGTTGTAAAAGTAGAATATTGTAGCATGGCTGCCTAGCCAACAACCGAACATACCCGTTGGCCCAAACATACTTTTTTTTCGACTCTGTTCGGTTCGGAACTAACAAGACCGAGAGATTAGGAAGGGGCATTTTAGTCTTTCACTGGTGGACCCACATAGCTATTCATGGTACAGGCGGACGGAATGAACGGAAGTGCTAGATAAGGAAGATAAATTTCAGTAGCGCACAGATAGCGAAGTTCTGAACTTTGGGTGCTAAACAAGGAAGAACAAGTTTTTTGGGTGCTATATAGGGAATTTTCTCCTTTTTTTGATGACCAAGTCGGCAGGGGTAAAAGCAGAACACATGTAATGGCCAGGTGGCCGGCAGGAATCGACATACCCGATCGATGTGTAGTATGTGTTTTATTCCGCAAATAATCTAGATCCATATGAAAAGACATATTGCCCGGACTGCACGTGTACTCGTCGACAGGCTTAAACACATATGATGCCAGGCTGATTATCGACTTTAATCACAACGTACTACGAGTATCCAGTTGAGAACTCAAGCCGGCCGGGTGTACAACGGAAGTAAGCTTCTGTGTATATGTAGACAAAAAAAGGGAGAGGAGGAAAAATAGGGCACTATCGAGGTACTAAAACGAATACAGCTCCACCGAGAGAGCTGTTCGTGGCACTGAAACAAAAAAAAAACGACTTCACTAGTAAAGTGGAGTCATGCCAAACAAGTCCTAAACGTCCTTGTAAACCTTTCCAAGCGTAGGATCTCTAGGCCTCTAGATGGCCTCTCTTGCACAACCCCAATTAATTTTGCATTTTTCCTCCGGTCAAAACTTAAAAACCAGCCCACAGAAATTGTTGTCTTTTATTGTCAAATTTCGTCCAGCACGGTGCCTGCTGAGCGGTGGGAAGGTAAACCGGTCGTGAAGTGAGCACAGATTTGTAGAGTGAGCCGTCATGCTAGAGTCGTGTTTTTTTCTATTCCAAGATGTGAATTTGCTAACCGTTTTATCAACAAGGAACTGAAGGTCAACACACGGCTAAGTCGCGAAGTAGTGAGTGGTAATAGTGACTTGATAAGTTCATGCTGTTCTACTGATCGATCTCCATTGCAGTTTTGCAGAATGCAGAGGCATGGGCCCTTGGGCTTAAGATGAATCATTGATACATTTCCCTCACCAGATTCAAAACTTAGGTCACAAACTAAACTGGTATCCACCCGGAAGAAGCAAGAGATGTTAAAATCTGTCATGATAAGAAAACTACTGCAAATGTGGATCGATAGTACGCTCTAAGTGTAATCATGAACTGTAACAACTGAGCATTTATTTATAGTGGGGAAAAATAAGCTACAATTTCGATGTTCGATTTCACACCGCATGTCCGCATCTGCTAGCGAGAAATTAAGCATTTCTCTGACCAAACCGCCGTTCTCTGCTCTGGAATGAGCTCAGCGCCTGCAGGTACTCGGTCTCCCCAAAATCAGGCCACATCACGTCGGTGAAGTAGAGCTCAGAGTAGGCGGACTGCCACATCAAGAAGTTGCTCAGCCTCACCTCGCCGCTTGTCCTGATGACCAGGTCGGGGCACGAGAACTCGACTCCGGCGACGCTTGTGGCGAGCTTGCTCGCAAGCATCGCCTCGTCGATGTCCTCCGGCCTGAGTGTCTTGCCCTGCACTTCCCCGGCGAGCGCTCTGCACGCCTGCACGATGTCCCACTGCCCGCTGTAGCAGGTCGCCACAATCAGGTGGAGCTGCGAGTTGTTCCTTGTCATCTCCTCAGCTTCCTGAATAGTGTTCTGCAGAGAAGCCGGCCGCCTTGAGGGGTCGCCGATGACGTGAAGCTGAATTCCGTTCCTACCGAGAACAGAATCATCGATTACAGGTGATGCACACGTACTTCGCAGTTTCATATCAGTAGTGCATCAAAGTTTGTGGCGTGTTGCTGTTTTTTTTTAAATTACACGGTACAACACACACTCACACGCACCTCACATACTCGTCCAGGTTGTCACGGATCGTCTGCTCCATCATCCCCATCAGGTAATCCACCTCCATCTTCAGATTCAAATAATGCAAGAACAGTATGCTATAAGCACAAGATCTGCCGATCGGTGATCAATCAAGAAGGTAAAAAGTAATAGCTAGTGAGGGGAGTGATGCCTTGGGGCGGCCAAAGTTCTCCTGGGAGAAGGCGAACACGGTGAGCACGCGGATGCCCCAGGCGTGGGAGAGCCGCACCGTGAGCTCCAGCGCACGGCGGCCAGCCTCGTGGCCCTTCGCCGTCAGCAGTCCGCGCGCCTGCGCCCATCGTCTGTTCCCGTCCATCACCACCGCCACGTGCCGCGGCAGCGACTCCGGCCGGATTCCGCGCTGGACCAGCGCCGCCTGAGACGGAGGAGCGACCTCGGCGCCCGCGCCGCCGTACACGCTGCAATCGTGGTGCCGCGTGCGGTTCAGGCGAGCAGTAACAAACAGGAGAACACGTGAGAGCATCGACAGGAAGCGGGAGAGCATCGTGGTATATTTGGCCCTGGTCTCTCGTCAGCTCCTCGGGAGTAGGTTTCGGTAGTGGTGGTTCCTGTCTTCTGGGGAGTGGGGGAAATATATAGGCATGAATTCGCCTTCTATTTATTTTTATTACAGACGACATAGCTGCGCGCACGCGCGCACACACTCTGCACATGCGTGCACATTTTCACTTTTTTTTTTTGAGAACGTGCACATGTTTGATTAATAAAAAGTTAGAAGGTTTATGCGTCTATCATCACATCACAGCGAGATGCCATAAGTGATGAGGTTGAACAAAAACACAAGGTACCACTAGGCGGCGTGCACATTTTCACCATGCTCTATGAAAGTACTGTAAGCAATTATACGCGCCTCTGCCCACCACTGTAGGAAATAACTGCATTATGGCATTTCTAAAACACATAGGTGGTCACCCTTGATGGGTAGGGAGCACCAGTGGCGGAGGGAGGGGGGCTGAGGGGGGCCTGGCACCCCCAAACCTTCCCATAACTCCCATAATACACCCCCTAAATTAGGTGCTTAATTATCTAATTAGCTAGTTAATGATACTATTAGTACTATAAATTCTTTTGTTCTTACTCCATATTGATATGAAATAGTATTTTAGATTTTAGATAAATAAAAATTAGGTCTTTCTAATATTTTCTCCATATCTTTTTGTTTTCATTATTGCTTATCAAACATTAATTTGTCCCCATACCACACACTCTAATTAGCTAGTTAATTGAATCAGTGCTTTTTCTTGTTTAATCCTTCAAAATTGATCTTCAATTGGCATTAGCGAGTTTGGTCAATATTTAAAATTTAAATGCTACATAGTGGTATGATGTTTCCGTTTAATCGTCTACCGTTTAAGTGACCATTTTATCCGAGGCTAAACAACACGTGACCGATTGTTTGCCGTTTAACATTTAGGATATAGTGCTAATTAGTTTTGGCCCTGTTTAACTACTTGTTATTACCATAATTCTTTTTTCGGTCAAAGAATTAGATTGATCGGGTAAAGGTTAGAGGCCTGAGGCTAATTAAACTCCCTTCATTTTTTAGTTTTTTCTGCTTTCTTTTGTATCGCAACATAAATGTTTATTTGTGTGTTATGTACATCTTTGTCGTGTGTATACATTTTGACATGCATGGTTGTTGCCGGTTTGCACGGCCCTCCCTATGCTCAAATCCTAGCTCCGCCCCTGGGGAGTAAAAAGCCGTTAGCTGTCCAAGCTATTCATTGGTTCTTATCATTATCTATTACTCCCTCTATTTTAAAAAAACTGAATATTCTAAATTCAGAAAAAGTCTCAAAAAATTGATATTTATCTATTTTGGCCATATTAATTTGAGATTGTAGTATGCATGCCTCTATGGATTATTTAAATAAAGGATCTATTTTTATCAGCATAGTGCATGTGGGGGTATGACCCTGATACCCATGGCAGACCACATGGGCTGCGCCCCCAGGGGCGGCCCAGCCCACAAGACGAAGCCTTGCGAGGCACGACTTTGCTCGGTGCCTCCCGCAAGACACCGGGAAGATATCCTAAAAATACTACGAGATCTATTATGATACATATGATCCCATGATTCTTTTAATCTGTTATTACTTTCCGGTTATCTCTTAGATCTAACCGACCTGTACCCCTGCCCCCCGGACTATATAAGGCGCGCAGGGACCCCCTTCAAAATCACGCAATATCATACGATAGTCAATACAATACAACAGACCACAGGAGTAGGGTATTACGTCATACTGACGGCCTGAACCTGTCTAACTCGTGTGTCTCTGTTGCCTTCTTGTTCTTGATTACACGCCTCTCTGCCGATCAATCACCTTCGTGGGATACCCCTCGGAGGACTGCCGATGATATTCTGTCGACAGTTGGCATGCTAGGTAGGGGAGTGCATGCTATTTCCTTATCGAACAAGATGGTTTTTTTCGCAGGCTCTTTGTCTCTCCCGTAGCCCGGTAAGATCTTCACGGTCGGATAGATCTCTTGGATCATCAACGCAGACGGAGTCGGAGAGCTTCTCGAACCGGTGCAGATCGATTCTGCGCCGATCACCCCCATACTTGCGACTACAAATCCGATCTCGGAACCACCTCCGAGGTCGCCTTCATCGACAACTCGCCGCCCGCTTCCTCGCTGCCAGAGGAGGCAGATCAACAACGACGATCTGATCGCATCAATCGATCAAGTTGGTCTGAAGCTCGCCGATTGCCTCTCCATTGCCGAATCTGCTTTGGACACTCTCGTTCAGTGCCGACCACCCTCGGATCCAGATCTATCGGAGGCTGCTCGGGAAACTCCAGGGGTTACGGCCCTACCCTTCGGGTTCACCAACATCGCCACCACCTACCAAGATGCCTTAAGGGGCAAATTCGCCGACCAGGTTGGAGATATCCATCCTCTCGCCGACCAGACTCCTCCGACTATCAACATGCTGCACATCGGTCGACGCCCTGAAGCATCCCTCCAAACCATCTTGGAGGAGAATCCAGACTCCGAGTCCCAGGGCTCTACGGAGACCCTCGCCGAAACTACCACCGAGCACCTTCCTCTCCCGCCTTTCCGTGGCGGTGCAATCTTCAACATCAGCATCGACAGCCCCCCTTAGAATGGCAAAACCGAGGAGGAACGCGCCGCCCGCAAGAACCGGAACATCAACTGTGCGCAGCGCCGAGCAAACGAGGATGCCCTTGTGATGGCCGAGCAGCAGCTAAATTCGCAAGGAAGGCCACTCCAGCGCAACCTCGACGATGAGTTTGTCCGCATTGACAGCCACGATGTCTACAAGACTCCAAACGCCAATCTGGTAGTGGCCGCCAACGAGTTCGCCCGGCTCCCGCAGACACCGGAGGTCGCCAAGGTCGCCGCCATGCTCAAAGCAGTGCACTGTCAGGTCAACGAGATCCGCCAGGATCAGAGACCTTCAAACTCCACAACTTCGATTCGCCGATCAGTCGCCACAAGAACCGATCGCCGCACAAGTCGCTTCACCGACCAGCACCGTGACGACAGGCAACCTCTCCAGGGTGGAGCTAGGGGCAATCGCATTGAACATCACCGCCAACACACCAGGAGGTCGACTAGGACGTTCGAGTGCACCTCAACAATCTTCGAGATGCGCGACGACGTATCGACGAACGCCGCTTCGGTCACCATGAAGAAGAAGTACGCCGCCGCCAGGAGTACGAGCAAGAGTACGGTAACCCGGACTCAGCTCTTGAGCTGCTCGCTGCTGGCAACGCTGCAGATGACGGCGCCGACAATTCTGAAGGGCCCCCAGCATTCACGAGGGCGCTCTAAACACTTTAGCGGCCCCGTGGTTTTAAAATCACTGGGGTCATGCCTTATGAAGGAAGGATGAACCCAACACAGTGGCTACAGGCTTACGCCGCTACTGTCCGCGCCGTCGGAGGAGACACCAGTGTCATGGCGAACTATCTTCCCGTCATGCTCACACCAGCCGCCATGAGCTGGTTTACAAGCCTTGCCCCGGACTCCATCGGATCCTAGGAAGAGTTGAAAAAAGTCTTCACCGACAATTATATGGCTACGTGTACTCGGCTGGGCACCAAGCATGATCTCAACCGCATCAATCAGAAGCCGTCCGAGCTCCTCCATAGCTACATCAGACGCTTTTCTGAGATGAGGAATTCTATTCCCAACATCACAGAAGCTGAGGTCATCACTGCCTTCATCCGAGGACCCCATCACCGCGAGCTTCGCTCCAAGTTCAACCGCAAGCCACCCACAGGGACTGGCGAGATGATCACGACCGCCAACCAGTACGCCGACGCCGAGGAAGCCGAGGTGCGCTTCAACGAGGATGCGGGCACTCATCACCCACCTCGCAGCTACGACGACCGCCCTGACGATCGACGCCACAACGACCGCCGCTACGATGACCGTAGTTACCATGGGGATAGTGGCCGTGATCGGCCAGAAGGATCCAAGTCTGGTCAAAATAGCCGCCGCCGACCAGACCACATCATCGCCGCCGTTAATGAACCTCGCGCCAAGCGTAACTACGACGAGCAGTACAAGAAGATCCTCGACGGCCCATGCCCCCTCCACAAGAACACCAGGCATAAAATGAAGGACTGCCTCGGTTTGGCTAAGGAGATCCAAGACAAAAAGCTGGACGACGACGCCAACGACGGAGCCGAAGGCCGCCGACCACCTGGGGGCAATAACAATGCCTTCCAAGATCACGACAAGGTGGTCGCCACCATCTTCGGGGGCATCGCCTCCACCAAAAGCAGAAGAGAACGAAAGCTCGCCACCAGGCGGGTGCTCGCCGTCACTACGGAAGACGCCGCCGCTAACCCCAGCTATCGCCCTTGGTCCGAGGTCCCCATCACCTTCAGCAGGGCCGACTAGTGGGCGGACATCCCCTACATAGGGCGTTTCCCCCTCGTCCTCGATGCAACCGTCAAGAAAGTGCTTTTTTGAAAAGTGCTCATCGACGGTGGGAGCGCTCTGAACCTCGTCTTCACCGGAGCCCTAAAGGAGTTGGGCCTCGGGATAATAGATCTCACACCCTCAGACTCCTCCTTCTGGGGTGTGGTACCTGGCAGGGCATCCAAACCGCTTGGAGAGATCACCCTACCAGTACAGTTCGGCACGGCAAGCAACTACCGCGTCGAGCACATCAACTTCTACGTCGCCGACTTCAACATCACCTACCATGCCATACTTGGTCGGCCAGCTCTGGCCAAGTTCATGGCTGTACCACACTACGCTTATCTAGTGCTGAAGATGCCTTCGCCTGCAGGAGTCCTGGCCTTGTGGGCCAACCTCTCCATCGCCTATGCCTACGAGACAGAGAGCCTCGTCCTCACCGAAGCCATTGACCTCTCCATCTAGATGGCCAATGTGGTCACCGACGCCAAGACAGTGCCCGCCGATGACCTAGAGATCCCATCGCTGGAGCCTCCTCGCGCCTCTGCCAAGTCCAAGGAAACTAAGGAGGTCGGCCTTGGCCTC